TGAGGCTTCACAGCTGGGAAAGCCTGTCTCATTCCTGAAGGTGAAGGTTCTCAGTGTCCCCTGTGAAAAGACAGCAGGAATGAAAGTCAGTGGTTGTGCATATATGTGAAACTCTAGTCCTGAGAATACAGTGTTTACACAGACAGCTGATAAGTAATTTTGTAGCTTTCTAGGGGTTTCCACAAACTTAATAAGATGATATTTTACTACTGCTCCATCAAAGCACAAACCCTTTGAAAGAAAGTGCTCAGTGTAGTAATGTAAGCGGACTCTACTGAGAAAGCTTGATGTACATTACTGCATAAACTCACTGCTCCAGATTGGTTCATAAAGTTAGACTGAACTCATGGCAGCAACCAAGATGGCTCAAGGGCTTGGCAGCAGTGTCAGGGCTGGAGCATAGGCTTTCGTGGGTGAATATCCACTTCGTCTGATGCTTTTTACAGATCCAGACTAACACGGCTACCCCTCTGATAAGTGTCAGGGTTTTTCATCACATGGCTATCAGCTCAGAGTCATTACCTTCTGATACCCATTTGGAGACCTAGGTGAAATGAGCTGGCTGGTCAGGCAGGCTTCTAGTGGTCAAGTGTCACTACCACAAGAACCACCGTTACAACTGGCACTTACTGTCAGGCCTGGTCCACACTAACCCCCTACTTCGAACTAAGGTACGCAAATTCAGCTAAGTTAATAACGTATTCGAAGTACCTTAGTTCGAACTTACTGCAGGTCCAGACGCGGCAGGGAGGCTCCCCCGTCAATGCCGCGTACTCCTCTCACCGAGCTGGAGTACCGGCGTCGACGGCGAGCACTTCCGGGATCGATCCCAGAAGATCGATTGCTTACCGCCAGACCCGGAGGTAAGTGTAGACCTATCCTCAGTCTCAGTAGAGAGGCCAAGTAAAGAATGAGCACTGATCTCCAATCTCACTCCTGGAGGGAATCTCTAAGGCAGGGGAGGGTGGTAGATGGGGAGGCTAACCGGGAGACTGCCCGTGCTGGAGATGAACAGGGGATTTCAAGTTTCCAAGCTGAGCCTTCATTCACCTTAAGTCATTAGCTTCACCTGCTCAGCGCAGAGCAGGAACTCGTTGACGTGTTCGGTGCAGTTCACCACGGAGGCCTGGTTCTGTTTCAAGCACTGTTCAAATGCAGTGAAGGGCTCAGCGCAGTCGTGGCGGATTTTCTGCACAATTGGGCTGCAACAAAGCAAACACACACACAGACGCTGAGCTCCTCACGGGGAGCTTTGCTGACGGTCACAGGGGACTGAACAGACCCTGGAATAAGCCTAGAAAGAACATTTTAAAATCTCTAGACAAAGCAGCTGTTGGGAAGTCAGGAATGTGCCCAGTAGCGGATGTGAACCCCCAGTGATGAGCTGCACAACGGGTGGAGCAGGCTGGCCTTGCGGTTACAGCATTGGTACCACCCTCAGGAGAACGGGGTTCAAGACCCTGCTCTGCCACAGAGTCCCTGCCTGGGCAGGTCACGTCCTCTCCCTGCCCCTCAGCTGTACAGTGGGGTGTGACGCGGGAGGGAGCGGGGCGGATTGACCTGGGACTGTCTGCATGGGGGATGGGAGAGCAGGGGGTGATACCTGAGCCAGGAGGGGGATTGGGCCAGGTGACACCTTTGCCTGAGGACAGTGGACAAAGGCGGGCGGGGGGAGGGGGCTGCAGGGGAGTTTCAGTTTGGGGCTGGCTGGGGAATCGGAGGGAACCCCAAGGTTGGGGTCGAAGCTCCCTACCCCCTAGAAGGACGCGACTAAGGGGCCCTGTTTATGCCGACAAGCCCTGGTTTAGCCCGTGCTGCGTTACTGCCTGGCTGAGAGTCCCGGTGAGCCGCCGGAAGCCGGGGGCAGGGCCCGGACCCCCCACGCTCCGTGACGGGGGTGAGCAGGCCCCTGGCTCGCACAGTGGGGCACGGGGGGCGCCGCCCAGACGCCGCGGGGATGGGCCGGGGCCGGGCGCACTCACTGCGAGGAGGCGCAGCGGGCCATGCTGACTTTGAGCTGGTGACAGTCCTGCTGCCAGCTGGCGGGGCTGGCGGCCACGCAGCGCCCGTACTGCTCCAGCTCGCTGCGGCAGTGCCGCGCCGTCACCTCCAGGGCGGCCTGCCTGGGGAGAGACCGGACAGTCAGACCGGACCGGACCGGACCGGACCGAGCGCGCCCCCCCTCCCCCGTCCCGGCCCCGCACTCACATGCTGCCGCGCAGAGCGCACCCGGAACCGTCCCAGTCCGCATGCGCGAAAGCCCAGCCGTGGCCATGACACTAGAGGCAGGCGGGCTCGGGCCGGTCGCCGCGCATGCGCGCCCCCGTCCGCGAGGTTGCTGCGCACGCGCGGTTTAGACGCCAGGGCGCCGTGGGCCCCGGAAGCGGAAGCGGCGCGTTGCTAGGAGGGCTGCCGGAAGATGGCGGTGGCCGCTCCGGCTCCGGGCCCCGCGGACGAGCTGGTCTCTGCGGTCACCCTGTACCGGCGGCGGCCCCGGCTCCTCCACGGCACCGTGCTGCCGTTCGTGGCCGGGCTGTACCCGGCCTGGCTGTGGCTGTGGGGGCCCCGGGCCTGGGCCGCCTGGGGGGAGGGGGAGGGGGAGGCCGGCTCGGGCCGCGGCGCCCCCGAGGCCGCGCTGCTGGCGCTCGCCGCCATCGGGGTCGCGCAGCTGCTGACCGCGCTCTCGGGGCTGTGGTCCGTCCACGCGCACTGCGCGCTCACCTGCGTCAGGGTGAGTCACGGGGGCGCGAGCGGGCGGGCGTCTGGGGTCCCCATTGGGGCGGGCTGAGCCCCTCGCCCCGCCCGAGCCGCTCAGCTCTGGGGGGCCGCTGCCATGCTGGCTCCCCGCCACTGCAGGGCCTGGCTTGTCAGAGCGGCCAAAGGTCCATCCAGCCCAGTCTCCTGCCATCCGACAGGGGCCAATGCCAGGGGCCCCAGAGGGGATGAACGGACCAGGGAATCATCCAGTGACCCATCCCCGGTTTTAAAAGAGGAAAAACAGTTGTTGGGGCACGGATGGGCTGTGGGGTTTTTATAGCATGTTGCAGGGGC